AGATTTTAGGTATGGTTTACTTAGCATCTTCACCCCATTTTCAAAAGTAATAACATAGGCATTAGGAATTTAGCTTCATTGTAGTTCCTAGTGTATTTCTGAAAATGGAGATTAGGCAGCATTAAACATTTTCCTTTTAGTGATACACAGAACCTTTATGTATGCTAATATTATTAGCCTGCAAATTCAGGAAAAAACACAAGTTCATTAAATTAATGGTCAGCAATTCAGTTTACTGTGTATACAAGAATATTAGAGACTTGATCTTACATGTTGCTGAGGATCCTCAGCTGCGTTTACTGAAATTAGTGACAGTAAAGGATGTTTACAGTCTTGCAGCTTGCACTAAGATGGTTTTGCCTCCAAGTTTCTGATAAAAGCTGAATGTGTATTTGAAAATATGTTAGTGTCTTACACAAATTACTTTCAGTGGGCACCATCAGAGCCTGGTTACTTCGTATGCAAAATAAATTTGCTTTTCAGTCTATTTATGCTATAGACTTGACATGGTATAGAGAATCATGAGAAATTTGCGATATTTGAAACTGAATTTCCAATTAAGAAAAAGCTGTAGGCAGAAGCAGATACTTTCTTTTTCTTCTAAACAGCAAGCTGATGAAACACTCAGATTACATTTCCAGTAAGTACTGGAGAACTGTGCAACAACATTAATCTGGGTTTGTTTTTTTTTTCAATTGAGAAGTTTAAAAATCAAACAAATTCTAAACGTAAAACTTTTGGAGGTAAACTTTTATATAACAGTTTGTGCTGAGAGGATTTTTAGCATATTTTTAAATAAAAGAACATAGCTATAAAGCATCTGAAAAAAAGCTGACTGGAGAAAGAAGGCAGTGCAGTCAGAATGTATTCTAAGTGAATTTCATTGCCAGGACTGCTTGAGTGCTTTGCAAAAGCTGCAGAAACATATGGAGGAGGAAATGCAATGATAAAAGCCCACTTTTTGCATGTCAATTAGCCAGATCTAAAAAGGGCAATCTGAAATCTTCCAATTAGCTGGAGTAAACCCTGTATCCAAATACTGCCTAACTTATAAGTGATTGGCTCTGTCCTACTGAACTCCTTGCTCTTTTATTCCACCATACTAAAATATTCACTTTTTTTTTCCAAATAGCAGAAAGCTGAGATTTAAATCTTCAACCAGTTCCTCCAAACCATTTAAAACAGAGAACATAAAATCATACAATCATAGAATATCTCCGGTTGGAAGGGATCCATAAGGATCATCAAGTCCAACTCCCTATAAAGACCGGCTATTCTTCATCCTTGCTAGTCTTTTTTTTTGTGTCTTATTTTTGTTATTGGCAGCCATTCTCACAGGCTCAGCCATGCTGCTGACAGTCTCAGCAGCAAGGTTAGGGTTAAAGAGAGGCATTCACTGCATCTAAACTTAGGCACCTAAATAAGAGGTCTGGTTGTCTACGGTCTCTTACTGGGTAACAAAAAATTCAGCACCTTGAGAGGAAATGCTGACCTTTCTACCAACTTTCTGCACAGGCAGGGAAATATGGCTCCTGTTTTAGGCACTTGAGCTGACTACAGTTATAGCTAGTGACCACCTAGATGTGCATATCTGAAAATATCTAAACTTAGTTTCCTCAAATATTTCAGTATTTCAGGCTCAAGTTGTAGGCTTAGACACCTGCTAATTCCATTGAAATCAGTTTGTTCCTACAGGTATTTAATTAATGATACCAAAAAAAAAGGTAAGCTAAATACAAAATACTTTGACATGAAATACCAGTACCGCTTGGTGTTTCCAGCAAATAGTCAGAGTATTGTAAAAGTAGAAATATTTATGGGAGGAATCCTATCTCAACATGTTGTCTTCTGAACACACTGACCAGTGAAATCCAGAAACCATATTGTCATCATATTTTTCTTACCTGTTTGGATACTTTACCCCAAGTTTTCTTAAGTCTGTAGATTGCACTTCTGTTCAAGGCTGACGTGATTTCTAACACACCATTATAATTGTGCATACATCGACAGATATCAGCTACTGCTACCCACTTTTCAATTGAGTTAGCCCGGGAGCTGACATCAGCATAATTCATGATTTGGGAGGCAACAAGGTTACTCATCTGATCAAATAAAGAGGAAGAAATTTAGGACATTTAAATATAATCCCTTTCAACATATAATTATTTAATGAACAAGGCAGAAAAACCTAATGCACAACAGAACCCATGACTTAATAAAAACAGAGAAAGTGTATTGAGAACAGTATTGTAGGGAAGTGGGGGGGAGCGACAATATGAAAGAAGAGCAAGAGATGCAATGGGGAGTACCTCCAAGACAACAGTAATAAAACTGATTGGGAAGTCTCTCGGTAAAATTCAAGGAAAATGGTAAAGAGCAAAGATATGGTTGGGGATACAAAGGGCATTCATTAAATAGAATTGGTGTTATATTTTCACTCTCTGGAGAAAATTTAGTGTCTTCTGTAAGCAACAAGGCATTGTAGTACAGTTTAAAATGTTCTACTCTTAAATTGCCATTGAAATGCTGAGTACCAATTCTTGAAAACAAGAATCTTCATGTGCTTTGATTTAAAAGTTTAATCACGAAAAGACTGTAACATTCATTATTCATTTACTACTAGATAAGAAGTTACATCACATCATTGTAAAAAAAAAAGATATTTCTGCTTCAGAGGTCATAGACAGTGTCAATACAGTTCCTAGAAAGCAATCTATATTTAAGAGTACTTACATCATTAAAATGTTGACTAGTTTTCATAATATACGGTGTTCTCTCATTTTTATCCACTTTCATCCAGCCCTGCCCAAGAAACTCTCTAGACGTTGAGGGGAGAGAAAAAAACTAAACAAAAATGCTCTTAATATACATAGTATAGAGCCTCTGTAAGCATAGCCTAAGTGGATTTCAAGTATACCTCATTTTGTTAGAAGCTACTAACACAGCTTTACACTAATTCCACCATTTCACTATACCATTTTTAATACTGTCTGAAGCAGTAAATACCATAAAGAAGATTTATTTTTCTTTTAATCCCCTCCCCCAATCCCGTCATCCAAATTTTCAGCATTGTGACCCTATTTGAAATTGGTCTTGTCATCTTATGTGGTTATAACCATGTTAAACTGCTGCATGAATGAAGCTGATTTGATACTCACTCCCTAGAGACTCAGCACTTCCATACTATATTCATCCTTCACTAGCCCAGAGCCTTAGACCACAGATTTTTTTCCTTAGCAAAGAACTCAGTCTTTCAAAACATGACCAAACTACAGAGGAATCAGAGGCAATGATAGAAACAGCCAAAGGACATTATCCTGTTATGTATGCAAATCTTTTTGTCAGTAGCATGAATTAGTGTAGTGCCTAACACTGCCAGTCAGTAACTCATCCACTGTATTCACTTCAGTCACTTGTAGGAGAACACTTACTCATATGGTATGCTTCGGAAAACTATGTGATCTAAAAGAGTTATTTGCTCTGCAAGTTCCATGGCCGACAAAGTCTCAAAGCACTCTGGTTTTGGACAATCTGACTGCAAAAATAAGGAGAACACTTAATGATCTTTTTTTGCGTCAAAGGACATCTCAAAGCACAGGGTATTAAGAACTTCATATGAATTTTCAACACAGAGTTGTAATTAACTGCTTTGCTACAAAGAAATAAGAATTAAGAAAAACTGCTAACAATGTAAGGGAAAACATCAAGCTGGAAACTCATAGGAAAATGGGCACATACAAAGTAATGAGTAAGTACATAGGTTAATTAAAGTCTGTGAATTCTGCGTTACCTTCCACATAAGCACTCTGCACCTATTTCATTGCCCACACTCTTCTTCAGATTAATGCAACGCACTTACGAGATGGTGGTGGCTACAGTTTGGATGATGGGCATTGTCCATCAAGGCCAACTGTGCTTCCGATGGCAGCTGAGATGGCAGACACTTATAATTTCATACATATTAACCTTTCCCCTTTCTTTTCCATCATGTGATTTAAATCCAAATCGTAAAGTTTTTACCTGTTCATCTTTGATATAGGCTCCAAATTCTTACTTTCTCTAGACTGAAATGTACATTCCTGATATAATAGAACAGTATTTCTGTCCAATTGTAAAGTTGTAGTTGTGCTATGTTTTATTGACTTAAACCCACAGTATTTCTATAGGAGTATCTATATTTAAATTTCAAGATGAACTTACCATCTGAATGATATCCTCTATTTTTAAATGGGTATCATCTTGATCATCCTGGGAAAGAGCCCTGAAAAATTAAGTAGCAGAACATCCTGTATAAATAAAATTGACTACGGTTATGGGAAAACCTTATCACAGATAGGCAATCATGTTTATCTAAAATAAACCCTAAGACTGCAATTGAAGATGTAAAGAAAAAAATACCTAGTACCTAAAATCTAATGTCTTGTTTTAAGTAACAGTGTACAAAATGGTACGATATCAGAGTCACGTAAGGTAAAATGATGGTCACGGAGGCTTAAAATCTCTGAGCTAAGAACAGCATATACTGTAGAATGGTCAATGACAATAACTACTGTACTTATTTGCTGATTATAGTGATAAGGTTTCTACATCTATCCCACTTTGACTTCAGTTCAAAGAAGTCTGGTGGACAAAGAAAAATTCTCTTTTCAAAAACTGGACTGGCAATGCAAAACCACAACACAATAACAATAATATGTAATCAGAAGCTCTCTGTCCTGAATAATCCTAGGAAACATAAAGATGGAAAATTACGTCTCAAGCTTTTTCTCTGTTTTTTAAACTACTGTGCTAAATGGTATTTTGGGGAAATATTTGAAAAATCAACATTTGAGAAGTGAAGAAAAGATGGCAAAATAGGCATGCATAGAAGAGTGATTCACTGGGAAGTGTTCTTGTTTATTGGCACTACATTGTCCTATTCAGTGTCCCACACAAAGAACTGTGAGCGTGGAAATAGACAACAAACTGCTAGCAGATTTTACTTGTAGCAAGTACATGATTTGCTCTCAGTAATAAAAGTCTTAATCCATGCTTCCAATTCTGCTATAGAAAATGTGTGATTATTAGGGTTATTTCAGAGTAATAGGTCAAAAATGAACCCAGCATAAGTAATAAGTATTCATCAAACCCCATCTACCCTGAGGTAGTATCTTGGCACATAATTCTAAGATCTTACCCTTTCATTTGGAAAATATAGACTGAAAGAAACCTTGAATAGACTGGATTTATACAATATAGGAAAGAGAAGATTCAGGGAGAAAGAACAGTATGTTGGTATGTAAAAGACTGCCTATAAAGACACCAACGATAATGGCAAGAAGTCACTGGACTGATTTGCATCAATGGACATTTAGTTTCAACATTAAGTTCAATTTTCCACCTGTAAGTATAGGTGAGCACTGAAATAGGCTTTCTGCAGAAGTTGTAGAGTACTTGTCACCTGAATTTTCAAGAGAAGTTTAGATGACCATTTTCAAAGAAGATCCAGTTCTACTGATCATTCCAGAAAGCACAGCAACAAGTATTTTCTTATGGTCCCTCCAATTCTTTATTTTTGCACTCTGTAGTAACAGACTTTCCATGTACCAGCTGGGGAAAGGGTTAAAAGAAAAGGATTATATTGCTTGGAGACTTTAGCTATGAGTGTAAGATAGGGAATTTGTACTATGTGGGTGGGGAGGAAGTGTTAATGCTTAGTACACTAGGTTCTTCTGTTGTGGGTTGCTGTTGTTTCCTTTTGGTTTGCCAAATTGGAGGACTACGTTAAAATCAAATGCAGATACACAGAAAAAGGATCTATGAAATCTCCTTGCCTTCATTTTCAGCCTATCAAATCGACACAAAATGCCCCCTTCTTTGAAGGAGTTGGAAACACCTTATGTCTGATGGGCAAGCCATGCAGTCTTGAATGTCTACTTCTTCAAGAGAACCCTAAGCTGCTTCTTCAGATAACAACAGTGTGCAGCCTCTAGAAGTGTAAATAGACTGGCAATCTGTCTTTCCGGAGCAGCTTATTTTGTGCTGTATCTCATGACTGATTGCCTGCAGAAAGGTATTGTATGACAAGACCATGTGCTTCCTGGTGATAAAAAAAAAGAGAGGACTTGCCCTTCTGCCCCAAGTATTCTAAGTAATCTTGTAAACTCATCATTTGAGTTCCTTACGTGTAACTTTATATTGGCTGGAGTTCTCATCTTTGATACAGAAATGATTTTACTTGCTTAATACAAAATAAAATAGGAAACATGAGATTATTAAGAGCCTGAAAATACTTAACTTTTCCCTCTTTGCTTCCTGATACTCTACATTTTATGTAGACTTCCAATCCCACATTCTAAAGAGGTGACTGGTGCTCTTTTCTAACACAGTGGTCTTATGAAAAAAATTCTTCTTTTATCCCTAAATGCTCTACATTTAAATCTGTGGAGGACAACACATCTCTAGACTGCATAAAGCTACTTTTTGATAGCATCAATAGTAGCTTGCACTTTGGTCTGCACTGTTGTCAGCGTTTGGATACCTAGTTTCAACAGAGGTCTAGGAAGATATGTTGAGCTGATCAGTTCTGCTTGGGCAGTTCCCATTACACTCCTTGGAGAGTCTCCTGGAAGCTGGGTGAGAAGCACAGGTCCATGTGAAAAGAGTTATGAAAGAAAGCAAAGCTAAGGAGAGATTATGCCGGACTCTTTAACAGTATCCCTCTCAGGGAGGACTAAATGGGGTGACACCTCCGTGGTGATCTTTACAAATGAAGGAAGTAAATATATAAGAAGTAACTTTCTAATTCTTAGAGTCAGCAGCTCTCTCTCATTTAAACTATTCTTAATGCTTGACCAGTCCAAATATTAAAATAATTTTCTAGTGGAAAATATTAACATCTGTGTCCTCATTCCTTTATGGTATTTTTAAAATATTTTAAAAGCTAGTGTAAGTTATAGAGCCTGAAATATATTGTCTGGTGAGATCATACAAGGCAGAGAATGGGTCATCCATCAAATTTTGACCTCTGCGTATCCCTGGATTTCATTTACATTTATTCTGAGGAAGAAGAAGGAGGAATTGTTTCTTGAACCACCCTTTTCTTCTCCTATAGGACTATTCATTGAAGTTACTTACTGCTGTTCAGTCTGAACTTTAGACCTTCCTGCTTCACCATCAATGAAATTTTACCTAGATTTCAGAGGTTAGTAAATAAGACTGATATTGATAGAATCTCAGGCAAAACATACTTCAGTAGGTTTGCCTAGCTTTCAGAATGGATATTGAATAAAAAGCAAAAGAAGCTTTTTTACCCTGCAGAGAAACCCTGTCAGTCCATTAAACAAAAATCTCATCACGCAAGAAATACCAGCTGTTCTGTTTGATGACTCAAGAAGCCATGAGGCAGCTCAGTATCTCTCATAAACACTTTCCTTGCCATTTATATTCTATACAGAGTCTTTCCCAGAATGGACCATAATATCTTTGGAATATAAACCAACTTTCCTCCTCTTCCAATCTCTGCTAACAAAGGGACTGATTTTCCAAGAGATTTATATGCACCCATGTGCACATACACTCAAAGGCTGGGTCAGTTTGTAAAAGGAGACGTTTGTACCTCATATCCTTCAAGGAGACTGTCCATGGAATATACCCATATGTAGGCTCAGAAAGCATGAACTTCCTTTCACGAGTATTTGAACATTGAATTTATGCTAAGAAATGCTTTTCCTAACCTCACTCTGAATTTCTATACTTTTCAGAGTCTAAAGTAGACTACGAAAACTGAAATGCGGGGAAGCTGAGACCTACAGTGAGGGCTGACTGGCAAACCAGAATTCTGATAGACTACATGTTTTGATATGCCAAAGCCTTTTAGATATAAAAGCCTGCAGTGAGCACCACGTCAGAACAACTAGAAAGCCTCTTTTATGACACTCATCTAGCAATTGGGTGAAGGACTATTTTCATGAGGGGCATATCAACTGGCTCACCCCTCCTTCCCATTTTCATCGTGTCCCAGAGAAGCCTTTTGAATAAATGTTTCATCAAAACTTCAGTTATGACGACAAATCTGTGCTTTCACATAAAAAATAAGCTGTCAAAAATCTTCAAACAAATTGATTTCTAGTAACAGTAAAAATGCTCTTCAGTTCTAGGTGGATAATTTTTATTCCTCCTCTAAGTAGTATTAGATGAAAGCTCTCCATCTAGAAGAAAACCAAAAAGATAACATTTTTCCAAGGAGGTGGGTATGTGGTGCTGATGGACTGAGCAGCATTTCTCCAACCACACATTGGCAGGTAAATCAAAAGAGGGACACAATACCTGGGAGCACCTCTACACATTTCTACAAGACTCAAGATACCTTTAGGACATCCAGGGCAGGATTCACATCCTCCACAAGTCACTGTCTGTATTCTGTAATTGTCTGAGAAGGGAGGTGCCTTCTATGATCTCTGAAGAAACAGTCAGGATGCCTAACTTTAGACAATTTTGGTGGACAGAATCTCCTTCATGATAGGCAGTTAACTTGGAAGGAGTGCTTCATTAGCTGTCTACAGTTTGTTTCGTGGTTAGGTGCTTCAGGTAGACACAGTGGGTCCCACCAAAGAATTTTTTCTATGTCAATGTAGAGAGGAAATCCCTTTCCCCTCACCCTGTCATTATAACCTATGGATGGTTCGAGGAACTCAAGAAATTCTTTTATTCCATTACAGGCCTTCTCTTAACATTCAGAACATTGACAATAATCTGCCATGTTGAGAAATGATAGAAAATCTGTAATCTGATGCAGAAAAAAAGAAAACAATGATATGAGAGATACACTGGTGTAGAACATGGTGCCTCTTCATAATGTCTTGCTGCAGTATGGAAGTGTTTGCTTAAAGCTTAGCAGTTCTCAGTCAAGAGGAACATAGTCTTGGTTGTCCCTACTACAATAAATAGTAATCTTCAGAGACAAGTAAGAGAGAGAACTCTCCAAGCTTAGGGAAGAGCATGTTCAATGTTTGCTTTGACTTGCTTCCACAGCCAGCCATGGCACCATGGGAAGCATCAGGCAAGAATGTCAGGGAAAGAACCATTTCCATGTCACCATGTCCTCTTTTTGCACCAGAAGCAGTATCTTTGTTTTTAGCGCAAATATAGAAAAAAAATTTTTCTTCTGGCACTAGAAACCTTGTTGCCAACTGAGTTCATACAATTGTATTGTCAGATAGAATGCAGGCATGTGGATATTGTCTCTTCTGCTTCTGTTGGTTTCTCATTCTTTATGAAATCAGTTCCAGAATTGAGCAAGGACCTTTTCAAATTGCCAGAAAAGCTAAACCCTCCTGATTGACAGAAACTACTCCTCAGTTTTATATTTTGAATTATTAAAAAGTTAAGTTTTCAAAGAACAGTCTGGAGTTGGTTCCACCTCTGAATCCATTAACAAGCTGAGAAGTGGAGGACGAGAGGGATTCCTGCTTGCTGCCCTGGTAGCTGAGATGGCTCCTGAAGTAGCCAGAAGTGTGTGTTCACAGTCTCCATGGGACAGAAGGTCACTGCTTAGGACTAGAAATTAGATCAATTTTTGTAAAGCTTATAAATATTCCTAATGCGCAATAAAAATGAAGGCTTGTGGAAGAGTAAAAGAACGCACACCCCTGTGTCCTTACCACAGATCTACAGTTACACACAAACTCCATTCAACTGCAGATTATTTATTAAATCCTCTAATTGCCTCTTCTCAGTTAACTATATAGCCTTGCTGAGAATGTATCTTTGGGAGTAACACAGTGCTTTTTCGAAGCTTGGAAACTACTCTTAATTACCAGACAACCCATTTTCCTGAGGTGATTTAAGAACCAGAGCTCCTCCTTTCAGCGAAAGGATGAGATACATGACACATTTGTGTATTTCATCCAGTTGAATGATTTTTTTGTCCAAAATCAGAATTGCTCTGATATACTCTTCTCACAAGGTTACTGAAGCAGTTCCCATTCCTGGAGAATTAATTTCTCCTTACCAGCTAACTGTTAACGAATCTGACATGCCTGGCAAATAACTGCCTCCTGTGTGGCTGGAGAACAAGCCCAAGAGCTTCAGATTACAGTTTTGATCAGCAAAAGACTTTGGGACAGTTTTATGCAATAACATTTTTAACTTGGGTGACTATATCCTGATCACTGCAGCCTAACTACAGTTTAAATTATGAAAGTTGTATTTATGCAACAGCCTCTATCTGGGAAGTTTAGTTATGCAACAACTTCTATTTGAAAGTTTATGGGCAGTTTGCATATATAATAAACACACAGACAGAACATAGGAGTAATTTCAGCTGCTACTGAAATATGGTTGCTACAGAAAATGGAACATCATAGCAGTTTTCTGAACCCTTGGGACAGCAATACTGTATCACTGATGCTTACTGGACTTAGTTTTGAAATAGTACTGAAACTAAATTGAAATTGAATTAGTATTGAAATATTCGACATAGACATTGTCCAGCAGCATTAACAGCATTTCCGGTCTTGAAAAACAACAAAGGATTTTTGATAACCCATGTTAGCCATGGCTTAAATTTCATGGCTCATTTTGCAGGAAAGTAGGACATCTATGCAGCATTCAGTCAGAAGGCCTAGTCCTGCATGCCAAGCCACCAATGGCTCTTTTTCCAGTGCTAGTTTGTGGGATGTAACCAAGTACTTACAATTCTGTATGATCAAATCTATAATCAAACTACGTTGTCTGAAACATCTGGCACTATTAGGGTATATAGCTGCAAACCCTGATGAAAGAAGGCTTGGCTGAGGACCGTATCTCAGGAAATCTTCATTCTCTACCTGTTTCCAACAGAAACTCCCACTGAGAACTTGGGCAGGTGATTTTATTCATGCTTTACTTGCCTACTTGTAAAGTGCCATAATACTTTCCAGAAATACTGTGAGGATAATGACTATGACAGAAGGATTTTAAAAAATGCAATCTTTTTCTACAAAATATTTCAAATTAGTTAATTTTTAATTAACTTTCAGTTCCATTTCTGTGCATACTTTTTTTTTCATTTTTACTAGAATTTTATTTTTGAGTATTGTTCTATTTCACTAATCCTTCTGTTTGCTCTTTCTTTTCCCCGTTTCTCAGTTTTTAAAAAATTCATTTTTTCAGAATTTTCACCTCTTACAAAATTTAACATTTTTTTCTTTTTTGCAAAAGAAATATACACTGTGCTCAGATACATATACAGTGTGCTCAGCTACTAAAGTAATAAGTGCTAGAAGGAAAGAGAAGACAAACAACACTTACCACTTCATAGAACAGCAGTAAAAGGATGCAAATGGAGGCAACTCACAGTTTACACATACTTACCAAGGTCCCATTTTTTGATGCAACAGTTAAGGGAAATTGGCTAATTGGAAACTGGATACAGGAAATTGCTAACAAACTTGTACGATAAAGGCCTATAAATCTATTCCATTACTCTGCCAGGAACAGCCAATCCAGGTTTATTTTCTCATATTTTCTTAAGAAGCTAAAGGTCTTAAGGTAATTTTTCCCACTGTGACCAATATGACAGAACCTTTGCTGTCACACATATTATAAAAACTCATTATCCTAATCCTTTTTGCTCTTCTTGCTTGCTGTTTCTTCCAAGGAAATACGTGAAACAAACTTACTATTTTGACTTCGAATAACAGTACATGCAGTATAATTTAAAAGGAGGTTTATTTTTATTTATGTACAAATGAAGTAGGATTCCATTGACATGAAGTTCTTTTACTACAAACTTATCCTTGTTTCTTATCCTTTGTTTGACTTTTTTCCTCCAGGTGAACAACTTTCCCCTCATTCTTCTGACATTCTTTTTCACGTAAGTATCTGATGGAGAAACCTGCCAAATGGTCTTAGAAAATTCAGACATGCTGCATTTATTACACCCTTATTGGCTTTCCAGCAGAATACTTACAAAAATACTAAGCACATCATAGATTTATCTGTGTTTTTTCGTTGTATCTTATTTTAACAACTGCCTAGTCTTCAAATATTTACTGCACCTTAGTAATGTAGAACAATTTACATGAAAATCAGTCACTACAAAATATTCGCACTTAGTAGACAAAATATTTTCACTGATAAGTGCTTATAAAGATTTGTCTCTTTGGCATAACTAGACACTCAACTCCATAATACCAACCCTAAGTAACAAAATAAGGTGTTTTAACAATAATTTACATAGTCCTGGTTATGCAGAAGCTTAAAGGTCTTTTATTTCATGGCACTAATTAAACAAGAATTCCTCTCTGTCAGCTACCCAAAGAACTTTGGACATGGTGTCAACACAAAGGAAGGTGCAAGCATGGTCTTGTTAGGATGTCACGACACGTTAGGCTATCATCAGACTCTTGTGAGCTTAGCAGAGTGGGTGGCTTATTAGTGAGACAGGAGTTCCTCAAGGTATTGTAGTGAGTGGTTTTGTTGCTTTACTGGGCAGCATTTTTCCCTGCTGCATAAAGACTGAACCCATGGCTGCCAGCTGTTCTGCAGCAAAATTTTCTAATACAGGTATTTTTATGAATGAAACTTAGAACACACTCTTTTATAGCTAATAAAACACTTAGTAATCCTTCAAAATTAAATACTCTGGAGTAAAACCAAACCCTGTGAATTCTATGATGCATGATCTCCTAACTACATCACATGCTATAGTTAACATACTATATTATTAGAAACTTATTTACCTCAGTATATTTGCAGTAGCTTTCCTTTCTTGTGGCAGAAGGTCAGGGTCTCTCAAAACTTCTTCCAGCAAATTTAACACATTCATTTTCAGCTCGTTGTTCAGGTCAAAATCCTACAAAGAAGAACAATTTTACTTCCTTCTGTTTTAACAAATAACTGAAAGGATATACTTTTGCGAGTTTTGCCTTTTTTTTTTTTTTTTGGTGTTAGGTTTGAAAATATTTGGAAAACTTGGAAACCTGTTGTAGTGAACAGGCTACAAAAGTGGGAACCCAGAGGGCTGTAATTTATCTCCTTTTCTGACCTTTATCTGCTGTGTGGAAACGGGCAAATCACCTAACCTTTCTCTTCTGAAGTAAGAACTGCATCTCACCAATACCCACAAAATCCTCTCTTCTGTGATGACTATAAAAGCAGATAAACAGTTTAACTGCAATACTGAAACCACTGCCTAGCGAGGCTGGACACTGTTTTTTTTTCCAGTTTTCTGAGCTTCTCTGTTTATCTGCCTCCCACTCTGGTATTTCTTATCTTATACTTACCCTTTTGCAAAGGTCTGCTTTTTGTTCCATGTAGTGGAGTACTCAACCTAATAAGCTAGATAAACCAGACTAGTGCTCTCTGGCACTGCACGTAAGAGCTTCAGCATTTTAATTATTTCTGAGGCAGACTGATATCTGACAGGAAAACACAACAACCATTTCTGTTGATCTCTGATATTGGACAAAATCAAAGAACAGAACAACGTAAAAACTTTAAGGTGGGAACTTACAGGAGTAGCCTCCAAAAATGCTTTTATTAAGCTCAAAGCCAGCATTTCGATAAGAAAACTAAACCCAAAACCTTCAGTCACCTAGTGCATCATAGACCTTCCTTGATAACCCACAGTTACTTGCAAGCAAGACCATTTGTGGCAAGCCCCTGCTTGTTTCCATGGGAACGGAAGCCACAAAGTTATTGAAACTGGGAAATATTAATTTTCCCAAAGAATCAGCTACAACCCTTTCTGTTGCAACAGGCTCCTAAATTGACAGGATTTCTGGAGAAACATGTCTCTGAGGAGAACCAGTCCTGGTGAAGACACATGTCCCCACAACATGTGTTTCACTTGAGCGGATGTGGGAGCATCAGAGTGCACCCAGTCACAAAGAATGTGATGCTTAGTTTGGAAAAGGAATGAAACACTTAAGACAAGGAGAAGGATGCATGTTCATTAAAGAAAGTGGTGTCACAGCCATGCTTATAGTACTTTTTGAGAAAGCTTATTGCTCAAAATGTCAGTGCTCAGAAATACCCTGCTGTTGCCCACCAGCAATGCCCTGGGCGTTTCCCTCCTGTTACAAGCATCCCTTTTTACCCTTCAAAAGTCTTCTCAACTTGGCCAGACCTAACTCATACTTTGAAACCAACTAGTATCTGTGTCTTAGTTTTTTGTGATGTTTGTCCGTTTTAGAGGATGCTGGAGAACAGGAACCTGTGCAGTATTAGGCTTTGAATGGTTACCTATGCCTCAAAAACTGGCAAAAATATAGTTCCAGGTACTGCATTGTGTTTGTTTTATGAAATAAGGTTTCTGTAGCCATTATCCAAAATGCGTGCTTTAGGAACTGTTTTAGCCTGTTTGCAAAAGAAAACAGAGATTTTTATTTATTTATTTAGGGTATGGAAATGGGACTAATCAGGGAAAGCATGAGGAGTGTAACTAAACTACATGAGAGTACTGTTTGCTCCAGTGATTTTTAAAACAAAACTATTTCGAATATGAAACTACCAAAATTTAGGTAAAGGAGAAACCTTGAGTCTGCACAAGCTTAAGCAACCAGTGTAATTAATAATAGTATTGTCTGTCCTACAGTTTGATGGTGGCCACTTTATAAAAGAAGCTGGGTATATTTGCTAGTCATGCTACAAAAATATCATCAGCGAACAGCAAAGGTATCCAAGAGCTAACAAACCTAACGTCCTCATTTACCACGTTGGGTAAAATGCTCACCTGCCACTGTAAATGGGCAGACCTCAACAACATGATCAGGATTTTATCTCCAAGTATGTTTTTCAAACCATAATTGGTTGATTATTTTCATTACAGGATAATTTTTCTCAAGAAGTCTTGCTTTATTGCAACTAAATTTATCACCAAAAAAGTCTGTATTTTAAGAGTTATTTAATTTGTGAATCAGGATGGGGAAGCCTCTCCTATGAATATTAGACTGGGAAAAACTGACGCACTTTCAGTTTTGCATGTTTACAAGCTAATTCTTTTAAGTAATGAGAATTAATACATTGTATGTTAACAGCAAAACATGTTTGTTGAGTAATCTCAGTAAGATAGTAGTCCTGGAATCGCTGGAAAACCCCATACAGCTGGCAAGCTATATGAACACTTAGTTCCTAGGGTTTGGGCTTTCTATCTTCCACTTCAGTTATACCGGCTTCGGAAGAAACTTCATGGTGGAAAAATCCACTTCTCTAACCTCATAAAAACCTCAAAAAAAGAAGTCCTAGACTCTTTATCAGCATAGCCAGCCCAAACTATCATGGATGATAGGCACTGATTAGGGATTACAGACAGAGGATGCATTGGTTTGTGTGACTCCTTCAGTCCCAGCTGCTGTCACACCTCCATGCCAGCCTGAACACAACTAGAAGATGTAACTTCACAGCACAGCCTTCCCACAGGACAGACAAGGCCCTATGTCCATGCAATTTCTGCAGCTGTTGTCATACTGCCCAAAATCTCTTCTTTGTGCCTGGAGGTATTCATTTTTATAGCAATGTGTCAGCTGCTCCTTATAAAGTGAGGAGAAAAAAATGAAAAAAAGTGGGATTCAGAAGAAAACTCGAGAGCTAATCTATTTTTCTGTTGAAGTTCATTATCTAGAGGGTATTGAGATTCCAGTGTGGTGAGCAATATATAAAAAATCTAGGGAAATCATTGTACTTAAACATGTACATATACTTAACTCTATGTAAAAGGTTAACATGAGAATTATACAGACACTAAAATACTTAACAACCAATTAAAAATGTAATTTGTAGATAAATAACTACAAATACATGCAGATTATATCTATCTGTATTACAGGCATGATATATGAATACATATTAATATATTACATATGTATATTATATCTATTTATAGTACAGGCACATATATATCTATATGTAGCTATACATAGGTCTAGATATATTGTATATATCTATATCATATCTCTCTATATAATTTTGGACCACTTTTGTGACATTTTGATCTGTTGTATCACCTGTTAATATGTTTCACTATTTCTTCCAGCTGTTGGAATAACTAGCAACAAGATTCTGCCACCATCCTCAGCAGTGAAGGCTGGCAAGCCTGATTAAATCCACTACTTGACACTGTGTCCCATGACATCCTGTCTCTAAATTGGAGAGCCATGGATTTGACGGATAGACCACTCAGTGGATAAGGAATTGGCTGGATGGTCGCACTCAAAGAATTGCAGTCAATTGTTCTATGTCCAAGTGGAGACCAGTGACAAGTGGCATTCCTCAGGGGTTGGTATTGGGACGAGCGCTGTTTAATATCTTTGTCAGCGACATGGACAGTGGGATTGAGTGCACCCTCAGCAAGTTTGCCAACAACACCAAGCTGTGTGGTGTCATTGACATGCTGGAGGGAAGGGAAGCCATCTAGAGGGACCTTGACAGGCTTGAGAGGTGGGCCCGTACAAACCTCACGAAGTGCAACGAGGGAAAGTGCAAGGTCCTGCACATGGGTCGGGGCGATCCCAAGCACAAATACAGGCTGGGCAGAGAATGGATTGAGAGCAGTTCTGAGGAGAAGGACTTGGGGGTGTTGGTTGATGAGAAGCTCAACATGACCCAGCAATGTGTGCTTGCAGCCCAGAAAGCCAACCGTATCCTGCGCTGCATCAAAAGAAGCGTGACCAGCAGGTCAAGGGAGGTGATTCTCCCCCCTACTCTGCTCTTGTGAGACCCCACCTGGAGTACTGTGTTCAGCTCTGGGGGCCCCCAACGTAAGAATGACATGGACCTGTTGGAGCAGGTCCAGAGGAGGGCCATGAAGATGATCAGAGGGCTGGAGGACCTCTCCTATGAAGACAGCGTGAGAGAGTTGCGGTTGTTCAGCCTGGAAAAGAGAAGGCTCTGGGGACACCTTATAGCAGCCTTCCAGTACCTAAACAGGGCCTACAAGAAAGCTGGAGAGGGCCTTTTTACAAGGGCACTTAGTGATAGGACAAGGGGTAATGGCTTTAAACTGAAAGTGTGTAGGTTTAGATTAGATATAAGGAAGAAACTCTTTACTATGAGGGTTCTGAGGTGCTGCAACAGGTTGCCCAGAGAAGTTGTGGATGCCCCATCCCTGGAAGTGTTCAAGGATAGGCTGGATGGGGCTTTGAGCAACCTGGTCTAGTGAAAGGTGTCCCTGCTCAAGGCAGTTGGGTTGGAACCAGATGATCTTCCAACCCAAACCATTCTATGATTCTATACCAGCTTACATTTAAATTGCTGCATGTGTTAGACCACCCCAACGTTCAGAGACTTCTAGTTGAAATTTACATATCACAGAAGGAATACAGTCAGTCAGACAAGAACCACCCAATTTTCCAGCAGGCACATTTCAATTTGATAGTGGTCTAATCCTTCATGAGAGGTCACATACCTCTAATATATTTTAGAGTCCATAGTAGCCTAAAGATTTGTGGGTCTTATTTAGATTTTCATTTGACTTAAGCAGAGAAATAAACTAAGATTTCCAAGCAAAATTTAAACTTTATTTTTAAGTCCATTGCTGTCAGTAACGGGAAAAGATATTTCTTCCCTATTTATTTAATATTTATACTGCAAAACCACTTATGAAATGTGCAAATATAGAAAAAAATGACAGCTGATGAGTTAGGTAGGAGGTCTGCCCTGGAGTCACCTAGGATAAGAATAGCATGTATCAAGGTCCCCACCGATCAAAAGCACCGTGCACCATGTTCATCATCACTTAATGAGGTTTCCAGCAGTAGAAGACGCAGCAACAGAGAGAAGTGTATTAATTTTGCTGTCACCCACCTGCACTACGAAATTAAAAGCCTCCTTTGTAACTACAGAGCACCAAAGTCA